TATTATAAAAATATTGATGTGTCACGTGTTCAGCGAACTTCAAAATAAGGCCATCATACACACCCCATGTCGATACTTTGTTCTTGACTATCATCATTCATGCCGACCGCGGGGAGTCCTTGTCGTGTGAGAAGTCACCCAAACCATGTAAGTGCTAATTGGTAATAGCCAAAGAGCGTCGACACATGTGGAAGCATCGAAGGAAAATGCCTTAACTACAAGGTCGAAGAAAAAGGATGCCTCCTTAGAGGCGGAATCCAAAGCTCCCGCCCTCGCCGAGGGTGGAACGACGGGTGACATGGACGTTGAGGAATTCAACCATGAAGAAGCTAACGTCGCTTGCACCGTTCTCTCATAGGAAGGATCGCCGCCCAAAATAACTCGCATCCCACCTTCAGCCTTGTCGGCACCGCCACCCACACCAAGGTTAATGTTGTGCCGAGCCCAGAAATAGAGGGCAATCTCGCAACAGGGAGCTACACACCAAAAACCTCACAGGCTACCTTTGGCCTTGTCCACACCACCACCCACACCGAGGTTACCGTGGTGCCGAGCCTAGAAACAGAGTGCAATCTTGCGGAAAGGGATCTCCATCTTGTCTGCCCGAAGCACCGCATCAGACCCCTGCTCCGTCGCCACCACTTTTGGGGTGCTCGCCAATGTCGAGAATATCGACATCAACTACACTCTGGCTTTGGTCAAGCTCCTCCAAACCGCCATGACAAACATGTGTCTATGACTAGGTCGGTCGTCAACGACAAACCTCAAGGTGCGCCCCATGGTAAGTCTCAAACATATCTATAATTTTTGCTATGTGCATGATGCTACTTTTATATCATTATTGCATCACCTTGCCACAACTTTTTGTCGATTTATCTGGGTAACCTGTTAATCTAGTGCCCAGTGTCAATTGTTGTTTTCTTCTTGATTTTATACTTTACAGAAAAAAAATTCCGTTTCATTGAAAAAACACTTTTACAAAGTTTTGCATCGGGAAGAAGCCAGCCACCACATGAGCCAACAGAGGGGGCCCTTGTGCCCCCCACGAAACCTTGACTCGGGCAGCGAGGTGGGGAGTGTGGGCCCACCAGATTGCCCTGCAAAAAACCCAAAAACAAGTATCAAGAAAAAATTCCACTGCTTGGAGGATGTTTTGTTGAAACAGGATCGTTCCCTAGGACTACCGGATGTGTGGAAGTGGCTGGGAGGTGATGATTTCTGTTGTGCTAAACACTTTTATTCTCTGATACTCCAACCTATATTTTCCAATCCTCTATTAAATTGGGTTTGGATTTGTTGCAAGATGAGAATCAAGGTATTTTCATGGCTTATGTCATGGACCGTTAAACACAGAAGATATGCTTCATCATCGTCACGGTGAGTGGCAGAGAATATTGATTTTTTTTCAATGTCCAACTAGGGCACATGAGAATTGTAACCACCTTATCTTCAACTGCCACGTGTGGGATTCTTTTTTGCGGGATAAATACTTGTATTACTCAAAAGTCACAGGATTAAAATCATCATGCGAGATAACCAAGGTCTCAGGCGGCCCGGAACCTAGCCAGGTCATAGTTCTACCCTGGCCTCTACCAAAGGTAGCTAGGCTATCACTAGCCTTATTTTGAGATCTAGATAACCACCTTATCTTCAACTGCGACGCTTGGGTTTATCGGCAAATTATCGCCTATAAGGAATGACATGCTTCCACATCGTTTGATCAACAAGGCAGTGTTTAGGACGAAAGTAAACACCACTCCGACATGGTACACAACCACCCATGGTGAAGGCAGCCCCAGCATCATACCGTCGCTCCTCAACCCATTTGCATTTTTAGTAATTGTAGTTTAGATCTATATCCGTCGGTTCAACTATGATGTTTAAACTCTGTCTTTTGGTCCAGATCATGTTTTTTTTGTTTTATTATAACAAGAGGATTGTCTCTAGCCTCTGCATCAGAATGATGCATGCATCGATATTATTAAAGCGACAGGTCAACAAGTATGTAGTTCGGTACAAGGTCTCAAAAAGAACAGTAATGAAACAAAAATCGCCACAATCGGCATAAATAGGATCGGATGACCGCACACATATCCTATTGTTGGACCACCATCCAAATTGGTTGTAAATATCGCATGCTACCGTCTCTCAATTGTTGCACCCAAAAGCCATATGCTCCTTAGCTTCCGCATGGCTGAGTAACGACCACACGTACAAATTCCAGCCAATTGCTCTGTATATAATCTGCAAAAAAAAATTATGACAATTTGTCTGTTAAAAATCACATCATTTCGGCTGTTCCATATAGACCAAATTAGTGTGCGCACCCTACTCGAATATGATCCAGATTATGTGGATATGCGTTCTGTTCTATGTCCGTCTATTCTATGTTCCGGAATGTCTTTGATCATCTACTTAGTTTCTTTCACGTTTCATGCATAATATGAATTTAGGATACCGATATGAGGAACACACGACGATTTGAGAATTGACCGGTCACTGTCTGCCAACGCGTCTGCGAAGATATAAGGTGCTGGATTTGATATATCCATCTATAAATGCTCTAAACTAACAGAGGTCACTGAAGAAACAAGAGGTAAATTGGAAGTCACTACAACTATGTAAGAGTAGCCACAACGTATGGCAAATTGTTGTGCCAAATGCAGTTTTTGTCTTGGGAGTTGACGCGCACCAAGTAGGCTGAATAAAATGAAAAAACCTTGGAACGGACCAAGTAGTTGCTCCCATGTCAAATTTTGACAACAAATAAAATATTCATTGGAAATGTCGTGAATGATGAAGAAACGGTGTATCAAAATATCAAAATGTTTGTTGGCAAGTTGTATAGCACGGAACATGCCAACTCGTACTCAACTTGCCACTGTTGGACATAAAATATCCAAATGGAAAAAAGACCAATCACATATATATCCGATAGGGATAGAGAAAGCTTGTGAAGCTGTGAAGCATATACGGGACCCTTCCAAAATCAACAATGCTACAGCTGCAGATGATTCTTAAAAAATTAACTTACAGGTGACACGCCCTTTTGTGATTGAAAATGATGGGAGAAGGAGAACACATAGTGAAATTCAGAGGAAGAGATTACTGCGGTGGAGAGTGTGATCCGTAGGTTTCATCCGTAAGTTTAGCATTCTTGCTTCCTTTTTTAATTTTTTGCG